TTAACTTCTTCCTTTCATCTGGTAACTTGGCTGCAAAGTTTAACTTGTTCAAGTTCTTATCCTCCTCCACAAACTGTACAGTTTTTACATCCTGTTGTTCATCTTTTTGTTGTTTTTCACTATAGATTTGGATAAGTAAAGTGTAGCCATATTCAGCCTGAATGTTCTCCTGTCTTCAGATTTCTAGAGTCAAATAGACTAGTTCATTATCTTGAAATTCAACTTTTCTCAAGTTCCCATATCACAATATGGTTCCTTTCCTAGTTCCTTATATAGTCCTTGTTGTCCTCTGAAACTTCATCAGCAGAACATTCACAGTACACATCTTTCTCAGTACTCTTGGTCACTCAAAACACACCAGAATGACCCATTAATCTCTACTTCCAATATTTACCTGCTTTTGTACCTTACAGCTCCACATTCTTCCATAGTCTAGTTTCAGTGGCCTATGAGCCACATGGTCAAGTTAAGGGTATCAGCAACCCCACTTGTGACACAAATTTCTCTCTTTTTCCCTTTCCTGTCACTGTGATAAAGTAATGTTATAAAATCCACTAAGGAGAAAGAATTCCTGTGTCTTTCATGGCCAAGAGGTCAAGATAACAGGAGGTTGAAGCATCTTGTCCTATTAACTGGAAGAAGAAAAGGGGAGCAATGAATGTATACTCACTTAGTTGCTTCTCTCCCCCTTAAACGGTGCAGGATTCTTCACCAAAGGAATGTTCTTACCCACAGCTAAGATGGCTCTATCCATATCAGTTGATAACAATCAAGATAATTCCCCATAGGCATGCCTAGAGGCCCATCTCCCATGTGGTTCTAGATTGTATCAAATAACACTAACTATAATACCATCCCTCTATCTTAAAGATAGGACATGGGCTTAAGAAGGTAAAATGAGCTATTTGGACTGAGCAGGCAGCATTAATCAACTGTGATTCCTGCTTCCTGGTCACCCAGGACTCCTGGAAGTCATTCTCTCCCTGTGTCTGTTGCCCTTCAGTTGAGACTTTGTTGCTTCCCCTGGACTACTCCTCCAAGCCTACCTAGCCCAAGTGTGATAGGTCAACATTGCCTCAACTGCCTTTTCATAGCCAGAGCAGGATGGAACAACTTAAAGGGAAGAATGATGTGTTTGACTCACGGTTTCCTAGTTGTCAGTCCATTGTGGGGAAGAGGGCATGGTGGGGAACAGCTCCTTACATTTTGGTGTCAAGGAAGCAGAAAAATGAAATACAGGAAAGGTACATCCCCACTTCCCCCAACTAGAATCTACCTTCTACCTTTCCCCTTCTCCTAAAAATGCTGTCATATCATGATCCCAACAAAGGATTAATCTGTTCTTTACACTACAGCCCTTCTGCTCTGACCTCTAGAAATGGGTTTACCGACATACCGAGTGTGTGCTTTAGTAAGTTCTGAGATATAGTTCAATTTAGTCATATTGAAGCCAAGATTCAATGTCACAAGACTTAAACTTTCTGACCTTTGTACTTATAAGGACATCAGAATGTAAACTTGAGAGCTTGTCCCTCACAAGTTCTATCTTTGCTCAGTTAACTGAACAGATTCTCTAGGGCAGTAGTGTTCAGCCTTCCTAATGCTGTGACTCTTTGCTGCAGTTCCTCATGTTGTGGTGATCCTAGTCATAACAATATTTTCGTTGCTACTTCATAACTGTAATGTTGCTACTGTTTATAATGTATATATTTTTGAAGATAAAGGGTAGCTGAAGGAGTTGTAACCCACAGGTTGAAAACTGCTATGCTAGAATAGGGCATGGTGTGAAAAAAATAGTAAAATATTAAAAAAAAATGATTAGTAAATTTTTGTGGGTTTATAAGTAGTTATTTTTCTTTTATAGTATTGGTAATCTAACTCAAGGTCTTACACAGTCTAGGCATGCGCTATTACACTGAATGGTGTCCCCAGCCAGTAATAAGGAACAGTTTGCTGTCTTTGGCTGGTGTGTAGAATATGTCAAACTCTACTTACTGCTTCCCTTTTATTATGGCACCAGGGGAGTGTTTTTTCCTTTAATTTCCAGGAGTTCATTCAACTGTAGAAGGCATACAAAGTGATGCAGCTCACTGAGTCAACACCCTGTTGCTTAGGCAGAGACGAAGCATGGTGGTAGAGTATTTGCCTAGCACACATGAGGCTGCCCTGGGCTTGAGCTACAGCACCAGTGAAAACTAAGATTGAGTATGTCACATGGAAGTTCAAGTGCTCCAGCCCACTGTGTTTATAAAGTCGGTATGGTCAAGCCTTGCTGTAGCCACCTCCCAGATAAGTGGTTGGGAAAGCTGGAAAGCAGAGCCCCAGGCCACTGACATGCAGTTCCTGCCCCATGATAAAGCACAATGTGAATAGAGCTGTGCAGAGCCAGATGATAGCATGTGGAGCGTGCCGATGCAAGCAGGATTCTAACAAGAATGTGGTGTCAGAATTTCTACAAGCTAGTTGTTAATCAAGTGGATCCTGGCATATTAGGGCCTCTTAACACATGTTTTTGACACCTGGTCCTTTACATGTGACAGTTAAATTAGTTTTGTAATCAATGGAGGAGTATGTTATAGTACTGAATCATCAATAACCTTTAAAGCATTATGATGTGTGCTTTGCTTCTCTTTCTGTCTCCCTTTCTCCCTCTCTTCTTCCTTCCTCCCTTTTTTCCTCCCTCCCTCCTTCCTTCTCTGTTAGTGCCCAGACAGTAGTACCCAGGGCTTAAAGCAAATTGACCTACTTTCCAAACGACTCTGACACCTTCTAAATGTTAACACAGTTCTTAATTTTATGACCCTTGCTTTGAAGCCAAGAGGATCTCTAATTTCAGCTCTTCCTCCCCTCATCATCTTAAAGTGCCCTGTGGTATGCCAGGCAGTTTGTTCCTCTGGGACACAAGTGCTGTTCTTTGGAAGACTAAGCTGGGAGGATGCATTTAACTCAAAACCGAGTAAAGGGTTTTGAAAGGCAATAAATGTGATATGACCTGACCACAGGGCTTCTGGCAGGTTTCCAATTGGGCGATATTATTCCCATGAAGCTTGAGAAATGTCACAGCAACATCTCTCAGATGCAGAGTATGTTATAGAGAGGTAGTAGAATGACAGATGGTAGAATGACAATTGTCATATAGGCAAAGATGAGAAGACCAGAAGCCTGAGGCTGTTAAAAGTCCTGAGAGGTTTACAGCTCACTGTGTTACTTTGCGCTTTGAATTGCAGAGTAAAATAGGACCCTAACTGGAATCAAGAAAAAAATAAATATGTATAACTAATATACCCATTTGCTCTGTGACACCCACTGTTCTAATAATATATATACTGTACGTGAAATGCTTTAAAAATTGCAAGGTAACAATAGCCATTTTTTTCTCCTCATACATTTTATACATTATAATTGACAGCACAGTTGCCTCCTTAGGGGATCTTAAATCACAGGCTAATATTCGGAATAGCTTCCCTCTTCATTAAACACATGTGACTGCCCCTGGCATGGAATAAGTTCCCAGTCCAGAAGATGCTTACATTTTGCTCAAACTAAACCAGAGTTCTAGTGTACCCAGTGGCTGTCAAGAAGCCACTGTGAAAAACAAACAACAGACAATGACAGCCACAACAGACCATCTCCAGACACACTGGAAAAGCCATATCTGAGACAGGCTTGTCCTTGTCTCACATTCTCCTTTTACCTCAGCTGGGTCACCTTGGCTGATCCAGATAGTCTCTCTGGGCTCTCAGAGGCCTTACCCTGTCACCAGTTAAGCTGGTTGTGCCCTTGAGGCTGTGATAATGACTGATGACAAAGGCCTGTGGCAGCCCTGGCAGAGTAAGTGCTCAATCCAAGAGATATTTGTGTTTTGTTTAAACTGAACCTGAGTTCTGGAGTCCCTAGTGCTTGTAAAGAAGCCATTGAAAGAAACCCATCTCAAGACAAGACACGTCAAAACTAAAATAAAGCAAACAACCTACATTCATGATAGGCTTCGCCCTGTCTCATATTCTCATTGTTAGTTCAATCTCAAGTCCTGAATGAGGAGTAGGTCCTGCTTCTCACTGCCCAATAGGCCTCTTTGTAGTCTGAGAAGAATCTTCAGGAACCCAGTCCTTTCATGCCATGTGAAGAAGCCAATAAAACAGGGCTTCTCCCAGATCTGTGCAGGGATTCCACAGTCAAGAGCTTCTGGCCCAACCCCCTCCCCCTAAAAATGCTCTAGGCATTTCCCAGACACTGTGAATGGGGGACGCCCCAGCCTGCACATTGGTAATTTACCCTGCCATGATTAGAGAAGGGAAACTTTGGGTTCAGTAATTTCAGTCTTCACTGGTCTTATTTTTTAATCAGTTGAAATATATTTTTGGGCTGTAGTGTAAGCTTCAACAAAAGTTTTTAACAACAACAACAGTAATGATGATATTCCTTTCTAGGAATAAAGGTATCTTAGTCAGTTAGTGCTTGCAACTGCAGTCGTAGCACTGTGGAGACAGAAATAGGAGGACAGATGTAGCTTGCTGGCCAAACGGACTAGCCAAGTCGGGGAGTCTCAGATTCCGTGAGAAACCCTGTCTCAAAAAGTAGGGTAGAGAGTGATTGAAAAACATAACAGATGTCAGCAGCTTCTGTGTACATGTACCAGCCTGCACATATTTTATTCCATATACATACATAAACTGGAAAACATACACACATAAACACACATATGTTTTACATACATACATGTATGCACACATGTATGCATACACACACACACAAACACACTCACGTATACACATAATCCTTCATCACTTAATTGTATTGACAAGTCAAAAACTATTCTGTTTTGACTGCATCTTACAAATGTAGGTACAAACAACCTCTCTTCATGGATCCACTGTTTAGGTTTCTATATTGGTTACCACAGAGAACTTTTTGAGATGAATTTCTCTGATTTTCTTTTACAGTATACTTAGGGAGGCACCCTGATGAGTTTCAACCCTTGTGCTGCTTCTGCCTTACAGGAGAGAATAATAGAACGCCTGAAAGAGCAGAGGGAGAGAGATGATCGGGAAAGGCTGGAAGAGATCGAATCCTTCCGAAAAGAGAACAAAGACCTTAAAGAGAAGGTCAATGCTTTACAGGCTGAACTGACAGAGAAAGAGGTGAGTCTGGAGAAACAAATGGATCACATCCACAGTCCTTAAAACCCCGGTTGTGTTGACTTTTATTTCATTGAAAGACTTAGGGAACGGATAGTTTAGTGTGAAGACTTGGGTAACATGGTGACCTTTCTCTTAGAAAGCTGCCTGAGTTCCAGGGGAAACAGTTCCAGTACCTCCCTTCATCAAAGATGCCTTTGGGCATCTTTACTATTCAGCTGACTATGGTATGGTCCCTAGAACGTCCCCCCTCCTCTTGGGTTTTACCTTACTAACTACAGTTGTATGGCTTAGAAAATAGTTCTAGGTCCTACTATCTTTTGCATGAACATCAGTTAGTATAACAACAATAACTCCACTTTACTTACTACTGCTTTTGGGATATTTTGCATTCATCTACAAGTCTCAAATGGATTGCCCAGTATCCAATTAGAAAACATGGCATTGAACATAAAATTTCAGTCTAGATACAGCTAGACTGGAATTTTATTTTTTATTTTACAGTAAATTATTTAAAGCCATTCCACACTGTAACAAAGATGAATCTAGAATATAAGTGTCACCTCCATTTTTTACAGTAGGACAATATATTTTAAGGGTCTTTATGCTTGGGGACCCAGGAGCAGTTGTTTGGGGGTACGGTCTTCATGCTCCAGGGCATGCCTAAATTATGTCAGTATTCTTGAGGATAGATGTGGGTGAAGCAGCTGTGTACCTTATCTTACCATTGTCATTATCTTTAGCTGTCCCTGACACAGTGATTTCTTTCTCCCAGACATGTCCAACCTCGGCGGGATGGCTCCGGCCTGATAGGCAAGCTGGATCATTCTAATCCATTGCGACCTCTTGCAGCTCTCCAGGGTTAGCCTGTCCCCTGTGTACTGAAAACTTTACACAAATTACAGTCATGCCTAAAGAGGAACTTGCAGCTTTAATATGAGGGGAGTTCTGAGGGAGCCAGGAAACACTTTCTTATTTCTAAAATCAATGCTTATTAGATTTTTAGAAGGACATTGTTTCTTTGTCATAGCAATGAAGAATTCAATTTTTCTGGCCATGTTACATTGCCAGTTTTGAGCAGATGGATCTGTCATTTGCATGTGACATAAGCACACTAACTTTGCTTTCATTTATACTATTCTTCAACATTTGGATTAGCAAGTGCTGTTTGAGGGTTTGTATCTTAGAACTACCACACTTACTCCTAGTGAAAATGAGACCCCTTGGTGGGAGGGTGAAGCAGAAGCCTCAGACAGATACAGTTTAATAAGCAGTGCTAACCACGAGTGAGCATCACACGGAAGCTCGGGAATCATCTCCAGGTCCTGTCAAATGTACTTGGCATTGACATTTGGAATTCAGTCAGTATAACAGACCCAGGTTAATAAATGTAACTAAATCAAGGGATTCGCTGAAAGGAAGTGATTTAGTGCCCTAGGGAGGCTGGACAAGCCCAACATGTGTAATGTGACTTCCAGGAAGAACAGGCAGAACACTCAGACACAGGCTCCTGCTGCAACCCATGGGGACAGGAAGTGAAGGGAGTTTCTTCTCCCATGGGTTTTGCTTGTAAGGCCTTTTTTTCAGGCCCACCCAGAGGACAGAGGATAATCTTCTTAAAACTTAAAATAAGCTGATTATAGGTGTTAGTCATGTTTGAAAAATCTCTCCACGACACCTAGATTAATAACTAGGAACTTTAGTGTAATCAAAATAAAGCTGGTCATCACAACTGGTAATTTACAATTTAAAAAAGAACAACGTAGAACTGTAGTTCTCAAGGAACTTATAATTTAGTTTGGGTGATAATATGTCTTCATTGTGACAAAATGACTGGATTATAAGGTCCTTCATCTCCGCCCCCCTATGGAAGTGAAATCAGAACTGTAGACCTGGGTTTGAGTCTTGTATTTGCCTTTAATGTCTAGGTGACCTTGGAGCAGACTAGCAGTGAATGTGGGCTTCAACTTGCTGTCTTGAAAAAATGAACATGAGTCACCTGTTCTTCAAAACAAGTATAGGAGCTTTCTGCTGGGCAATGCTGACCTTCATCATCAAGGACACCTAGTGCTCAGGGCACTGTCTTGTATAAAGCAGTAGGCAGCATCGTGGTTGCCTGAGAGATCACTGTATGCTCACTACCTTCCTTGCTGTTAGAACGCTGACAGAAAGGGCAAAACCGACACATTTTAGTCAGTAGGGCTTGCTAGCTATCTCATATTTGGTAATGAACATTGCCCCAGTAGACAGTAGATAGGAAGAATTATGTTCAAAGATGTAGTCAAGTATTTATTTCTCTAGATTTTAGAAGCGAAGCAATATGGGAATCTCTAGATTGCTGGAGTGGTTGTTAACCAAGCAACATAGGCAGCCCTGTTCCTGAGTGGGAGATGGATCATATTGAATCGGGACTACATAGGATCAGAACTTGTAGTGTACTTTGTCCTAAAATTCCATATACTTTTATCTTTGATTTACCAGAAGATATTTGAAAAATTAGTCTTTGTGTTTCTGTTAAAAAAGAGAATTTAGTAAAACTTAATAGAATGTTTATTTTGTATTTGATTACCCTAGGAAGGAAGCATCAAAGTCAGCATTTTGTTTCATACCTGTCTCAGAGTCAGTCCAGCTTATTTACAGTGAATACAAATGGGGGAACTCAGGTGCCTGTTTGGAGAGGCAAAGCTAAAAGATCACCAGAGGACTTAAATTATGGGCATGGCTTTGAGATGTGAAAACCGCTTATCTTGACTGCACCATCTAGTCACATTTCATTCTACTGCAGTGAGATCTTGTTCTGTCTTGTAAACCAACCAGCTTTAGTTTTCTGCTTAGAGTCCACTATCACTACCTTACCCTTTCTGTTTGATGCATAAGTTATTGCTGTGTGTAGAATCGGTGGATTTATGTTGATGACCTTGCCAGGAGAAGTGGTGATACTTTGCTCACTAGCACTCTGCCTTCTTTCAGTCCAGTTTAATCGACCTCAAAGAGCATGCATCTTCATTAGCGTCTGCAGGACTGAAGAGGGACTCCAAATTAAAATCTCTAGAAATAGCCATCGAACAAAAGAAGGAGGAATGTAGCAAATTGGAAGCACAGTTAAAAAAGGTAAGTGACCTCTAAGCATAAATGTGCTGATTTCAGAATGAATTTATAAAATGGCTAAGGAAGAGGTATCTTTCAAAATAAATGCTGATAGAAGAATTTTAATTAAACAAGTTGATTTCTGAGTAGTCTTCATCAAGCCTGTAAATCTGAAAAACTATCTTAAGTTTCCTGTTGATAGAAAACTTGAAAAAGAGAAAATAGTAGCAGAGACTAAAAGACTAAAAATCAGCCATTACTCTCTGGGAAAAATCTAAGCTGTCTGAAAAGGTAAATGAGAATGTTTTCAGCAATTGAAAGAATCCAGAGATCCCCTTATGTTTTTGGTAAACGTTTATAGCTTATAGAAATAGGTCAGTTTTTGTAACACAACTTGGCAAAAATGTCCCTGGCAACACTCAGGTTCTAGATGTTCGCTGACGTGGTCAGCTCCCTGCTGCGTCTGTAGAAAGATCACTTATCTTGAACTGATAATGGTCTGCTTTCTAAGCAAGCTTGTCATGTTTGGAAGTCTCTGGAAAAGAAAGCAGGGTCTTTCCACGTGGTGTTTGCTTGCTTTCTCCGACCTGAGCATTTTTGTGGGGTGCATTTCCAGTCATGCATTGTTCCTTTGACTCTCTCCCTATGTTGTTGGTTTGTCTGCACTCATTGTTCATTTAAAATTCATAATGTTATTAATTTAAGTCTTTTGTTCCTCTTGATAACTTATAAACTTAGTCAGAAAAAGATAAGAATCCAAACATTCAAACAAAGCATCTAATAATATTTGACTGCGAGTCATAGCACACTATAATGGGGATTTATTAACTAGAGTTATGAAAACAGATGGAATGGATGGCCAGAGATATGAGCTGTACATGTATCTATTACCTCGAATGCTTAATATTTAAATATTCTATTTTCTGTGAACTTATGCAATACAAACTAAAATGTAATTATTTCATGCTCACCACACAGGGATTTTAGAAAATCACCATGAGAAATTTTACACTAAGAAAGTCTACTCACTGACTCAGAAGGAACACATAGAAGTGGCTCTGGAGATGGCTTATGGGTAAAATGCTTAGCTCCTATCCTCAGTGGAGCCATGTAAAGAAATATGAGGCAATGTGGTGTATTCCTGTAATCCTCTTCCTGGGAAATAGAGATAAGTAGGTCTCTGGACTCTTTGGTCTCCTAGTTTACTTAATTGGTGAGCTCCAGGACACTACATCAAAGTATAAAAATGTAAGGTAAAGAAACCGAGGAAGAAACATGATGTTTACCTCTAGCTGATACATGTCTGCACAGGGGAATATACAGTCATGTACACATGCATGCACCACACACACACACACACACACACACACACACACACACACCACACAGGTGCACACACACAGACACACACACACACAGGCATACACACAGACAGATACCCATACACACACACATACACAAGCACATGCAAAAATAAAGTGAAATGTGCCGTTTAATCTCTTTTAACAATATGGCAAGAAAATTGGAAAAAATATTATTTTCAGGGTCTTCTCAACATCTCCTTTACTTTAAATAATGTTTAGTAAAGCAGAAATCTGGAGTAGTAAATGAAAGAGTTTAATTTCCCATTTGAAGCTATTTAGATAGAGATTGAGTTGGCTCTCTTGGCGTTTAGTACATGAAATATTTCCTTAACATTTTTATGTTGTGCTCTATACTGTATTGTACTTTACTTACTAAAACATTTTCAGTGGTAGAACATGCTTAAATATAACACTGTACTGGAGGGAAACAGCCCCTACATGATCGTACCGTACTTACAGTGTGCTGACCGGAAGAACCTCGAACATACACGGGCCCGAAGAATACCCCCATCAGCTCTTTCACAGAGAACAAAGCTCTGCACATAGGATTCCTGTACATATGTTCTAAACATATGCCCTTTGTCAGCATAACTCAGCATTGGCATTTGAAATCCTCTAGTGACAAAAGGAAGAGTTCACATGTTGATGCTATAGTCTCCATGTTTATGGCTTGATTCGTGCACTGAATCTGCATTCATGCAGTTCAGCCTACTCTGCTTCACTTTGCCTTGCTTTGCCCAACAGAACAGTTACAGCCTGCCTTTTCCATAGGCTCCCAGTCAACACTGCTTACTGAGATCACAGATGCAGCCCTGTCGTATTCTAGCATGGTATTTGAGGACACTTTAGTATTTTACAGTGTCACCAGCACAAAAGTGACACATATAGTTGTCTTGCCGAAAGGGAATTATTTAATTCACAAAAGATAACTTCTTCCTAAGCATTTACATAGTCTTTCTTTATACTGTCTTCTAAATACATAGTGCAGTGGACTTAAAAAGGTAATGACAGTTTAAAACATTTTACGCCTAACCTGCAGATGCCTGTATTGTTACATTTGGCTCTCTGGTGTTGACTAAATTTAGGTTTGAAGTGTTTTTTAAGTAGTCTCTAATTTCTGCTGATAGCTCCATTAAAACCTCACCTTAGAAAGAAATGAGATCTGCGTGAAATATTTTAAAGCACTAGCCAACAGCATGCAAACACATATAAACACATCATTTACTTAAGGAAAATAAGCAACACAAAAAGCTCAGAGGGGTTCCTTCAGCCCCTCTAAGTGAAAAGATGTGTGATTTGTGAATAAAATAGACTTACTAAATGAAACCTGAAAATATAATTACTTTGTGTTGTAAATACACCATGGATTTTCCCAGTGGTATTTTGCTCAAGATTTGTGATGGTCTAGGTAGCTTTTGCTCATAAATCTATATAAGAGTATAAATGAATAGCATTTAATTAAATGGAGCCTGTGTCTGCTAGTGACAGTGGAATCCACATGGGGATTTTAGCTTGTTATCCTAAACAATGCCTGACTGAAATAAGCTATTTTTTTATATACATAGTCATTTTTAACACTCTTTTGTGTTAAGGTGTAAAACCTTCAAATATTTTGTGATAAAAAGGCTTCTATTCAGAAAAGGGATTCCGTGCATTCTATTTCAACCTCTTAGAAATGATAGTCAAATATTCATGTGTGAGGAATCTTTACTGATATTAGTATTTATTAAACAATGCTGACCAGGTAAGGCATAATCACTAATTGTAAGTATGCATAATAATTAACTCTCCTCACTAACTTTAGTTATTTATATGGACCACTCTGTCTATTGAATGATTTTTTTTTTTTGAGGTTCAAGCTGTAGAGGTTAATTGATCTGTATATTTAGGAACTTGATGAAAAGACACAGAATCCAAAGTGCTATGACTTCTCCCTTCAGCTTTCCAATCAATATGCTTTGGAGGCTTCTCTTTTAAGCATGCTAAAATCATTATTTGCTATCCTCAAGTTAAAGAAATAGGTGTCCTGTCTCTAAAGGAGTGTCTCAGCCTAACACCAAATAGTAGTTACTGTAGTGTTTCGCCTACTCTATCTTAATCTTGAGCCTCAAATTAATGTGTAGATATTTAATAAATATAACTTAATGACACTATTCACAAATAATATTTAGGACATTGGACTGTACACAAAATTGGCAGGAGCCCATTATAGATTCCAAAGTACTTGGAACATAATAGGAGATCTTTCAAAATTACGTTTTCAAAATTGTAACAACAGTAGAAACTGTTAATTGACAACACTGTGTTGTGGTTTTCTTTAGTCTTTCTCCAGACCTGAATTTTTTCTTTTCCCCTTTAAATCAATATATTGCCTTGCTTACTGATGCCTTTCTATTTGCTTTCCTGCTGCTTCCTAATCTCTATAAGTTAGACACCAAATACAAAATTTAGGCTTATGTTACTACCAAAGAAGAGCTATAAATTCAATGATAAGATTTAATTAATCTTTTATTATTACCATCTTTGAAGTTCAGGTAATAAATTGTGGGCTTGGCCAAAAGTACTTTTTCTGATTCATTGTTGGAGGCCGGCACTTCATGTATCATCAAAACTGGACAGTTTTCCTTACTTCATGGGCTATTTAACTCGAGAAAGGGAAAGTAACACAAACCTTAAATTTCTTATTCCAGCTATTCTTTTTTAGGAGCCAATGTCAACATTTGTATTTCCCCCGAGCCTTTCACTTTCACTGTGGAATGTTTAGAAACTGAAATTTCTTCTTCTTCTTTTTTGAAGACCAGCTCGTCTGTGCAAATGCACTGGATTTGCTGAGCTAATGCTGTTTTTCTGGATCTTTCCTTCTTTCCCTGTCTATGCTGCAATGCCTCCCTACCTTTGCAATGTAGCAAGCTGAACAGTTGTTCAATCAGACGTACAATCCAGTAAGTCATTCCCGAAAGTTCCCGCTGTAACATATCAAAGCATGAGGATCCCCTGAGCCTATGTCAAAGTGTGCCCCACTGGGGAAGTCTCCAAAACTCTGAGCAGTCTCTCTTCATTCCCACTCTATTGAAAGAACTGCTCTACACAAAACCAATGTCATTTCTTTCAAAATTTAAAAATAAGAGACCAAGAAAACATGGCCAACTTTAATAGTACCTTCTTCCTAATCTCAACTCTTAGGCAACAAAACAAAACAAAGCAAAGCAGCTGAAGAGCTAGGAATATGGAATTATTTGTGATATCCTTTGAACACGGGCTTTCCCTGTGCCACAGGGAAAGCCCTTGCAGAATAGCCCCATCTCATGTGTGCTGTATGTATGTACTCTGTTAAGCCGGGTTTAGCTTTAAAATCTGGGCTGTGCTCTTGAAGACTGTTAAATGCCTAACCATAGTGTAGGGTTTGTAAAAGTTCAAAACGTGTCATCGTAATGAGGACAGAGTAGATAAGAGTCTCCTAATAACAGATTGTAGCCATTCTGAAGTTAGTTTAGTGAAGTCTGAAAAGCAGGTAACTAGTTCAAACATTAATAAAATAGTTCAGATGTCCCCACTGGATATTTACCCCAATGACATGTGCATTCATATGAACATTTATTTGTTTTTAACAGAAAGAAAGACTTTTCTGTTTTGTCACCAGACTGGCTTCTGGGAGGTCTAGTAAATGAAGTTAACTGAAATGCTTCACCTGACAAGCGTGATCTGTAACACACTCTAATTATCGCCTACTTATAAATCCTCATTACAGAAAAAAGAATGCTGTCCAGAAAGGAAGCAACTCAATCAACAGTTTGATTTCTTAAGAAAAGCTCTGCCTGCATCCAGGGTGGTGCAAGATGCTTGGATGCACTTAATAAATTATGCCTGGACTCTTCATTTTACACCACAAAGACATTTACAAACACAATATTTAATGCCCTGCTGGATCATCCCCCAGATGGATTTTAGCAGAGTAGCAAAATTAAACAAACAAGCAAACAACCCGGGTTTCCCTTCCCTTAATATTTGAATGAAGTAATAATAGATAGCCTCAAGGCAAGAGCCTAAAAAAAAATCTTTATTAAAAAATACATGTTTTCTTGTGAATATTTTTAGAACAATATTGAAAAACAGTTTTAAATTTCTAATGCTTTTTGTGTATGAAACACAAAGGGATTGACATATTCTATGGCTGCAGAAAATTCTTAGGACAGTAGTTGGAGTTTACCAGCCCTTGTCAGAGTAGATAAGAGTCAAAGAAATGACTTAATGACATGGCATCCTCAACTTTCCCTTTCTCTTCCATCCAGGGCCAGGCCTCAGCTATTCAAAAGCAAACATTGCAGTCATTTCAGTGACTAATTTAAAGTCCCAGGATGATTTTCCTCCCCATGTTAATTAAGCTAACCAAATGGCCTGGCATCCTGGGAATATAGCCAGCTCTTCTTATTTTAACTAACGCCTACCCCCACCCGTCTGCAGATATCTCAGGATCCACTTTTAAAAACCCCATTTAATTTCTTTCTCCTAGTTATAGGTGTGATATATGGCATGGTATTGAAAAAGTAAAGAAGGATGAAGAGTGGAGGATGCTTCTCCTCTTTCTATCCTTTCTTTCCTCTTCCCCGTCTGTCTATCCAACCTTCTTTTCTTCCTTACTTCCTTCCTTCCCTCCCTCTCTCCTTCCTCCCCTCCTTCATTCTTCCTTCCTTCTTTTGTTCTTACATAATCCTTTGTTTCTTTTCACCAAGTTATACCAAAATATTCGTTCAGTTTTATATCATATATTTTTGCAATAAAACATTAGAATTCTCTCATGTAGTTATTTTCCCAGAGCACTGTAAGTGATTACATGCTATCTAATCTATTTATTACTGATTTTGATCACACGTATCCCTGTTTTTGTCAGTTCTACAGGTTCCCTGACCACCGATCTACCACTTCTCCATCTTCTCCTTTGTCTCCTCCTCTTCTACCTCCATCTCCTCTCTCTCTCTTCTTCTCCCCCTCTTTTTCCTTCTTTCATGGAATGAATTTTCTGGACCAAAAATCTTGGTTTTTAAGTATATCTCAATCATTCTTACTATGTTGTATTTCAGGACTTTTACCAAGAGACTTCTCTAACACTGATTAAATGTAGCCTTGTGCCTTTTTTGACCATACCCTGGCCCACACAGAAAATCCTCACTTTAAATAACTTTTAAAAATCCTTAGGTCATTTTTTTATTGTCTTTAATTACTAATTAGTTTTGGATTTAAAATATATTATTAGCTCAGTAATTTTTCTTTTGGAAATTAGATCCTTTGGCCAATTAATCGCTTGCCTTTAATTTACTTGTTTGTTCATTTTTATGAGCTGTTTTCTCATATTGTGATAATTTTATTTAATTTTTAATACAGATAATTTTTAATGGTTTTTGATAAGTGGGATTTTTTTAAAATAATTTCTTTATTTTTAAAGTCATTCTCTAATAGATATGTGTAAAGCCATTCACCAGTATTAAAATTTTTGGATGCTGGTTTTTGTATACAATCAAATACAATTCTGTATTTTGATTAATTTTGAGAGATAAAGTATATATTTTGTAGTTATCAGTTAATTTTCCTTGCTTGTCAAATGTTTCTCTGACCTTGATGTCACTGTTTTGAGTATCACAGTTTTAGTGACAAAGGTCTCAGTTCCTGATCTGTAGTTCAGCTTTAGCTATGACTCTTAGTATTGGATCAGAATCTTAGTTCTTGTAACATTGTGATATTGAAACATCTAGTAGGGTAGATTCTAGCTTGATTCTCCTGCTTTTGCTCCTGTCTTCTTTGGGAGTCCTTAGCTTTTCATTTTTAACATTCCAGGTGAATTTAGGGGTCACTTTTGTCAATTAAAAATCACAGTTTCTGGTGATTTAAATTGAGTTGTATTCATCCTATATGATAAAGAGTCAATGATATATTCCTGATATCATTTCTTCTTATTTATAGTCATGGTCCAACTTTTTAAAAGTGGTTTTTCTACAGTGAAGCTTTGACATGCTTTGATTGCAGGCCTGGGTTTTTGTTTTTAAAGCTGTCGTGAAGCATATGCACATACGTAATTTTTAAGCTGTTACAGCAACTGATACATTTCTAATTTTATTTTCTTTTTTAATAATTTATTTATTATGATTTATGTGCATTGGTATTTTACCTACAAATATGTCTGTGTGAGGGTATCAGAACTCCTGGGATAGAAGTTACAGACAGTTGTGAGTTGCCATGTGGATGCTGGGAATTGAACTCTTGTCCTCTACAAGAGCAGCCAGTACTCTTAATCTGACTCATCTCTCCCTCCCCTACCTTTTATTTTCTAAAAAATCATTGGCACACAGGAAGTTTTTGCTCTTGTGTGTGTTTACTTTGAATATGGCTACCTTCACATTTCTGATGAATTTACTGTTGTTTTGAATGCATAAGAACATTTTACAGCCAGTAGAATGCCCATGTGTGGACACTCCGAGTAAATAAGGACTGGGCTTTGACGCCTTCTGCAAATATGTTCTGGAATACAAAGAAAACATTTATTTTCTTTTTTTTTTCCCCATTGTGCTAAATAATATGTTAATATCAGTTTGAAGGAACTTAAATTCTTGCCTTTGAATCCTTATTACTTTTCTTACTAATAACCTTTTTTAAATTAATTAGTTAGTTAGTTAGTTAGTTAGTTAGTTAGTTAGTTAGTTAGTTAGTTAGTTAATTAATTAATTTACTTAACTACCAGCTTCCAATCATGGAGTTTTGTCTTGTCGTGAAAAATGTTTACAGTTTAACTTCAGTCAAATTCTTTTCTCCCCTTAGTTTTCAATTCTAGACAAATAATAGATTTTATCATTGGTTTCAAATGCTGTCTTGGTTATATCCCTCGTATGCTTGGAGAAGGTGTGTAGAAGTCTTTCCTATATTTGAAAATAATACTTTGCCTCTTGGACACATTAATTGAGTGCTTTATAAAATATCCCGTTGCTATAGGGCACTGAGGTCACCTTCCTGCTGACAAGGGAGTACTTGAAACTCCTCTGATGTGCTCCTGTGAGCTCTCCAACTCCTCACCAATCATTATCCATTTGAAATCCTGTCTTTTATAAACATACTTTATGCAGGACTCACCTTTTACTTAAGGGTTTACTAAACAAAACAAAATGAAACAAACAATCAAAAAAAATCTCAGACATTTTTCGATTCTGCACAGAGAAAAAAATCTTAATGCTCAGGAAGGCTTCCCTGTTTAATATGTCATTTGAGGAGTATGATTCATAGCGATGTAGTGTGCTGATTATAAATGCCTTCATGGCTACTGTTCAGCCTTAGCAATTTCTTTTCTTTTCTTTTTTTCTAAAGCCTATTTTTGAAAACTATTGGATTCACTCTTAAACCAACATCCTGTGGCATGGTAGATATTTACAGCTTTTGATAACTATTTAACATATTCTTCAGGGAATATAGATGATCCATGCAAACACATGCACATACATAAACAATTGATACAGGCAGTCAATGGCAAAAGAACTCGAATGCTATTCCAAATCGCATAATAATGTTAAGTTACATGGTTTGTTTTGGAATGGCTAGATAATACCATTAGTTATCAGTATTGCTAATATTTAGAAATTCCAGAGGAATTATATTAATAATTATACTTTTATTTGAAGGTTTTAAAAATCTGCTAAGATATAGATTTTATTTTTGTGTGTATTGGGAGTATTTGTATATATATTTATATTTATTTTATATATGAAAGGAATTTTTGGCAGTTTTAATATGCAGATTGTGAATGTTCTGGATTCAGTTAGTTTGAAATTTAAAAACTATAATTTTCTTTAAAATGATGAAACACAAGATTCCAAGATATATCATTAATACTTTCAAAGTATGTTACTTAGGGCCAATAATTATGCCTGGTATTTATTCATTTTTATTTGAAACAAAATTTAAGTTTTATAATATGTTGTAGTTCTGGAATTATAGTCAGAAAACTTAATGAGTCTCTTTTGCTCATAACTTAGAATTATGTCAAGGTCTAAAATAGTTTACACCCCATCCTGTTATTAAGATATGAAAGGAATGCTGAAATCCTGTCCATGGACTCTAAGACAGCGGAGCACTGTGACTAAGAATCGTATTTTCACAGTGCATAAATTTACTGCCAAAGTCTAGTAGCAGCAGGAATGAAAAATCAACAGCTTCATTACCTAACAGTTGGCTTGTACTTTATGGTTACAACTAATCATTTGTTTTGAGGGAAATAATTTTTTAAAAAAATGTTTAGGCCCATTTCAAAAGGGTGTTATATAATATTATAAGTGAATGTCCCCTGCCTTGTGGCACAGCAGGGTTCTGGACTGAAGTTAATGCTTTTCTTCCCAGACATCTGGTATTACAAACCAGTACTTCACTGAAATAATCAGTGTCCAACCTTTATAAGTTAAGTGCAAATAAGCTAAATATTTGATTTTGATACTTGTTAGCTCCCAACTTTGGGGCTAACTACTCTTCCTTGATTGATATACATCAGTTGTCTGAAATTCTGCTTTGTTCCTGATGCAGTTCTGATAACTCGTCGGTATCATAATGTATTGCTTATCCCCAGTCATGACTAGATCCCCTTGCTCTGTTATCCAGGCTTTCCAAGTCAAAATCACATCAAAATGCTGAGGCTGGCTCACATCAGCAAGGCTTCCACCTTTTTATTACCATGTGCAGGAGAATTTCTGTATATTTGGAAGTACAAGAGACATAGTCTAGAGATCCCCAAACTTACAGATCCCACTAGTAAGACTGACATCTCTGTGATGTTCTTTACTGAATTTCTGTTTTTTTACAGCACACTTGAGAGTCACTACAAAGGTTTCAAGAAATATTTTGAGACAAAACTTGATAACCAGATTTGTCTTTAATGACTCAAAAGTTTAATATCTTCATTAACATGAGAATGAGTATTTAATAACAGTATACAGTATTTGGTAACTTTGATCCAGGTCAGAGGCTGCTAGTGTAGTTGGAGCAACTTATGTCATAATTTTAAAAGCAACAATATACCTATCTCTCCATTTATAGAGGTGATTACTGCCTTAGAACTTTGGAGGAAGCATTGGCTCTGTAAACTCAGTTTTCTCCTAGCTTTTAATATGTAGCGTTGGCCCCATGGCTGTGTGTCTCAATAGAGCACACTCTGTCTCTATTGACTAAAATGGCACTCTGAACAGTTGCCATTCATATTGAGTCAAGCTACTTAACTCGAATAACTCTTAGGACATGTATGCAGACTTCTGCCTTTTGTATTTAGAATGGACTAGAACCTCACAGATCTTCCCAGTCACGAGGAACTGTCACTGTCACTGAAGAAATGATTCAAGAAAGAGTTTCCTCGAGTCCTTATAAGTTTTTCTTAACAAATATATTGATGTGAACATTTTATAACATCATCTATTTACATGTCTATCAAAAAGCCTTTCTTAAGAACTTTTCATTAAGAATGGAGTCTGACATAAATTTCCTTTTCCTAAAATCAGTAGACACTATGTTGGGGATAGAGTGAGAGACAGATTTTAATTATTGTTATTAGTGAAACTGTATAATCATTTACAAAGGATGGATTATTGGCACTTTCAAGTTTTATCTAACATGTGTAGGCCAGCTATGAACTTGCCAATGGGCGTTAATAACATGAGCTACCTTCAGCCTTTACATGAAGCCATCAGTGGTACCTTCAAGATTCAGGTATTTTCCCTTTTAGCTTTCTGTTAGTCTATACATCCCATGAGTTCTTTAATCCATACTCACTGGGCTAAATTTATCTCATTCACCCTCTGTTAAAGACTAGTCTTGGATTATCATCCTCAGGATCAAACAAGGATATTCATACCTGTCAGGAACAGCCTGTACTTTTTTCCTAAATCTCTCAGTCAAACTTCTGTAAGGAGTGTGTTGATGAAAAGTAAACAAACGTATTAATATAGCTGTAAAAGTCTTATCTCTGGGATTATTATAAAATGATAATCAAAATAGAAGATCAATATTATCTTTCAGATGTTTGTCATTTTGTAGTTTTTCACTGTCTTTAGACATTCTTTTTGATTTGCCTCTTGACAAAAGATATAGAGCTAATTTAGATTTAGAACTAATGTCTCATGGCTACTAATCATTTATTTGCTCATTTAAAATGATAATAATAATCCCAAGAATTTAAAATAAAACAAGATAGACTATATGACTAACTACTAACCTTTTGTTAATCTTAAACATATAAGATGGGAAAGAAAATTGTAACTCTAAAATATGTTTATTCATGTGTTTTGAATGTTTCTAATTATTTATTGCTTAGTTCATTAATTGTTTTTTAAGATATTAATGGTATTGATTTGGTATTTTGAGAATTATACAAAAAGATTTAGTTGTCATAGAATAGTGGTGAGTTTAACAGTGGAAAGGGATAAATAAAATATATTGTAACTATTCAAAAATTGTGTTTTTCTGTCACAAAAGTATTGAATTCACTTTTATCAAGATAGAAGTATATAGTTAGTTCATTTTAAAATGATACTATCTGCTCTAAATTATTAAGGTAGAGGTTAAGCTATTTAAATATTAATCACCTTGTATAAAGATATAATTATTACAGGAACAAACTCCTAAAAGCAGAGTAACTCATTTCATTTTTACTAATACTGAAAACATACAATAATCTGTTACAGAGAGGCCTAGAGTGCACACTAAATAACAATAAAATACTTTGGAGATTTGTTGGTTAAAGGAAGTAACCAGTTTTAGCAGCATGTTGGATTGATGAATGTTTACAAGTTTTTTTCATAGTTGTTTATTTCTTAAGTAAGAAAATCTTAAAGGATATGAAAAATTATTTCCCCTTTATCCTCATGCTTAAATAATATGTTACATGCAAAAATATTATTTAAAAATAATTTTGTCATGAGTAAGAAATTTATTTTATTTATACTAATTTTGACTTTTTTTAACTAAATCATTGCAAAGACTGTCAACCTTCTAACAGCAGTATCAGTATTAATTTTTCTAACCATGCATGATCCATTTAACCCTACAGTAGCTATAGCTTGCTTGCCTTGTTTTTTCCCTGAAATTAAAAAAAAAAAGTGCATAAAAGCACAGTGGCCATGTGCTCCACATAGTGGGAAAGCAGAAAAACTCAAGTTTAATTAATTATTGATATGTTATTCCTTCACACACGGATTTTTGGGAGAACCGTACCCGTATGACTTCTCTGAATTTTCTATGTTGAATGTGCACCATTGCTAAACTGCTTGTTTTCTCCCTGCCTGCTCTTTGAAGAAGCCAATTAGGAATAAAGGGAAACAAGGGGTAGGCAAAACATTGCAGTGCAGTGTTCTGCATCTGTCTGGGAATATTTCAGCCAAAAGTTTATTTTGGGAAAAAATAAACTATAAGGCCTCCATGCACACACACATACTTGCACACAAACCCACAAATACTTTGGCTGCAAATTATTCTACAGTGATGTTGCTTGTTGTTGGTTATATGTGTTCCGGTGTGTATAGCTGCTCTCCACCCATGCATGTGTTTCCGGATTCTTGTCAGTGTGCTTGCTCAAGAACTAGCCCATCTCCTCATTGTTTAGGTTAAACCTATTCGAGTAAACAAGAAATTATGGGTATGACTGTTAGTTAGAAAGCCCTTCCTTACTTCAAGAAGTCTCCATTCCAAACCACTTCTGCTGACATTTCTTAGTAGTGTAATATGCTTAGTCAACCCGTCTCCCAAAAGCTACCATGTTCTACATACGGCCTTCCTCTGTCTTGGAAAACAATTTCCTACTGTGCCTTTCAGTTCTCTAAGTTGGAAATGGAAGCATTTATTGGAAGTGTAAATTGCTTTGTAAGGAATTGTATTGTCTCCATCCTTCCTACTGAATGAACAAGAACAAAGACAGTCTCTTCCTTCACCTGTCCCCCATGTTTTGATGGAAAGAAAAAGTCAAAGCAACAAAATTTAACATAACAAAATATCAGTAGGAGAAGAACCTCCCCATGGGAAACTATCATATACTTTAAAGTCAACATTATCTAAGGTAACTGAATTATATGATTTTTTTTTTCCCAATTTGCCTTCTCACTGACAGAATATCCATAATTCTTCTTGGTTATTATCTCTCCAAAGTTATGTTCTTGGCCTTTGATGACTACACTGCGTGTTGTTCTAAATCATTGTCTTAACTACATTCTTTAAAAATGTAATGTTGAAGGCGCATAATATTGAAGATGACTCCAGGATGAACCCTGAGTTTGCAGACCGACTAAAACAGCTTGACAAGGAAGCATCTTACTACCGTGACGAGTGTGGCAAGGCTCAAGCAGAAGTGGACAGGTTGCTGGAGATCCTCAAGGAGGTGGAGAATGAAAAGAATGATAAAGACAAGAAGATTGCAGAACTTGAGAGGTGAGTTCTGCCTGGTCAAAGAGAGTTGCTCTGAGAGTTGTTAAAGGTGAGCAAGTGCTGATGACTTAATGTACATTCTGAGTGTGGCACATTTGAAATGCTCACTTACACTCTCATATTACAATTGGAAGGAAGTTATATGTAAGAAATATATATTGCCTTCCAGTCAAGGGTGGTGTTGTGTTTCTGTGGAATATTACAGAGGCACTCGTTTGCTGTCTGAGGAACTAATGACCTTTTCAGTGTCTAGGAAAACAGTGCCTGGCTTTCTTGAGGACCATCTTTGATCTAGCACTTGTTCCAACAAAGTATGCAAAGATTTGGGCTTTGACTATTTGAAATGTAAGTTCTTGCCCATTAAAGACGAACATTTTGTGGTTTGGGTTTGTCACAAGCAAAGGAGAATATGGAGAAATATAGTTGGAATTTCTTCATTCAGATAAGGGAAAGGGAGGCTCATGTCTTTTTCGATGTCTTTTGGCACACTACAACAAATTCTTCCTTGAAAGTTATCTGTAAGAGGATCTTAGACTACTTGGAAAATAAATGGAATTAAATATGTTGAGTAGAGTAATCTACATGATCACAAATTCAGTCTAAAATAATGGTTCAAAAGAGACCTCCAGTGTCTTTAGATTTTGTGATAAGCCATACCTATATTATGCTAACCTAGCATGGTCATTAAAAATTAGTTGATTACTCATGCTTTTTCTAATACTTCTGTAAGAAAAGAACTTTCTGAACACTCTTACAACATAGCTCTATATAACCTCTGAGTATTTCTCATTGGTTCTGCAATAAGGCAGAATTTGTTTTCCTAGATTCAAGCCATATGGAAGAGATCAGCCAATTTTGAATAAATCAGTGAATGTTTGCCAGCTTGGATGGAGACACTTGCGAGCCACTAAAGGACTTCAAGACATGTGCAGAGCAGTGCTCTGTGGCCTTACAAGAATGATAATGGGCTTTTGCTAAAGAAAGACATGGGTTCAGATTTTGCATCTGCTGCATGCCAGCACTTTGGCCGCAATTCTTGTTAAAGCTGAGTCTCTAACAACCTATTAAAATGTATTCTGTGTTGTAGCTACCCAGTGTTCATATAAGGTGGGATACTGACCTCATTATGGCAAAACAAATGAATTCTCAGTATTAACTGACTGCATTGGATGGGCAAATTATTCACAGTAAAATTTCAGCAATATTTTCAATATTGTATTTAATCATCCAAACACCAAATTTATAAATAGTTCTTTTAATAATCTTAGCCTCTTTTGCTGACACTGCGATTAAGTTTGATTCATTGTGAGTCATTTTAACAGTAAGGCATAGTTCTTTTATATTGAGGTAACTATGCAAATTCAAATCTTTAAGGACAGGCTGGCAAGATGGCTCAATAAAGCCATCCAAGCCCGAGTTGGATTTCAAGGGTCCATATCGTTAAAAGACGGAGGTTTGCCCTTTGACTTTAAGACACATGCTACGGCACATGTGTGCCTGCACACACACGTGAACATTTTTATGCAAAAGAAAAAAATTAAAACATAATACAATTAAAAAGACAAGCTTCAAGAGCTTCTTTTTAATTTTAAAGTGAGGGAAAGTTCTTCCAGTCTTCTGGTTCTTAAAATTCCAGGACCACAGTAATTTTAGATATATTAATCTACCTGGCTATTTTGGAGTTACATTTCAGGACCAGGATTTCTGAAGAAATTAAAAAATGCTGGCATAGGATCACAAATAACTTATGATCATGTTTTGTTGTTACAAAACTAGACATTGAGAAGTTGAATGTCCTTCTGTGGTCATTCATTCATTCATTCCCAATCACCATCCTATGGCCAGAGACAAGCAGCTATAGTGTATATCTGTGAACCTCTAGTCTATTCTCTGAGAGGCAGTGATCTCAATGGATGATGTCATAGACAGCATCACCAGCATTATTAGTAATAGCAATTATTACCATAGTAATAAAGTTTCTATATTTTATGATCACCGTGTGCCAGATACTCTGAGACTTATATTTGGATTAATCTTACCCACAGAGACAATCACGGTCCCTATTTTATATACGAGGAGGTTTAGTAAGTTTAGTAACTTACTAAAGATTATAGAGTTCAGAAGAATGAAAACTAGAACTCAAAGCTAGGATTAGCCAAAGAGCCACTGAGAACAATGCTGTCCACTAAGGGGCCGCAGAGGCAGGCTCATCTAGTGGCACTGAAGGGAGTCAGAGGGTCCTCCTTCAGCATTTCCTGCAGCCACCAGAGCCCTGCCTCCTTGTTATTAGTTTCCCTGAGGGAATTTGATGCCATGAATGTTTAGAAGGCCTTTTTTCTGTACTAAAACTGTTCCTGAGAACTGTAATTGAAAATCAGTATCAGCTACTATAAACATTTACATATAAGTGGCTTAATTATCTAGTTGGACAAACAGGTCTTAGCTAGGCTGTGTGGCCATTAAATCATCAAGAATATTCACAGTTTTATTTCTTCAATATGGAAAGCATTAAAGCAGCAGTGATTTTACAGGCATTTATCTTTATGTACTTTCTGCACATTTTCTTTATCTCTGCATTTGCCTCTCCTTAAGGCTGATGCCTCCCAGGCACTGTAATTCATAAAACATGTGCTAGGGGCTTGACTCTGCCCCAGGTCTCTGCCTGCCTGCCTGTATCTTGGGTCCAGCAACAGAACACAGTCTGGGAAATGTCTGAGCCCCCGTCCAGCCCAGGCCCCTAAGGAGGTGGGGGTGGAGATTCAGAGGGGAACTATCCTGGGAAAGAGAGGGCGCAGCCTTGGCCTCCCTTTCTGAAGCATTATCTGCTGGGTTGCATGTGTATTCATTCCCACCAAAGCATCTTCCCGACTTTGTCAGGCAGCCCTCTTCACTTCGGTTAGTATCTCAGTTTCCTGGCTGAAACTACAAAATTCATACCTCATAATGTTGAGAACTAAAGATTTCTTAGCATTATGACATATATCTCCATTTTGGAGTCATGGAGAGTGCTTGCAATTAAATTTGTGATTTTGAAAACCAAAATATTGAACTTGAAATGAATTTGTGGTCTCTGGCTTGTAATGTGACCTACCAGAGCGAAAAGCCCTCTTTTTTAAAGCAGCTCATGTTCTAAAATGTTCCAGAACTTCTGTCATATGCAACAAAACATTTGCGGTTGGGGGTGACTCTGATGCCCTGACAGGGGCCAGCTTCTCTCCCAGAGGGCGGCTTGTTTGCCTCTTATTCTGTTCTTCTTCTCCTTTAACGAAGTTTCTTCACCATTAGTAAGTTCTGCATAACACGCTGCTGGTGTTTCCAGTGAATTTACTCCTTCAGTTGCACAAGAATGCTGCTTCTCCTCAGCCATTAGAGATTCGGCTTTTTAAGGTATATGGTGTGCGTCAGTTGATGTGCCTCTCACACGGTGAACCCTTGTACTGGATGCTGATGCTCTGGTATCTGCCTCAACCATAGACTGAAGCAAGCCCAAGAGTCAGTCAAAAGGAGGCTGATGCCTTTGTTCTGTTGTGAAGTCAGCTGTCACGTAGCCTACACAGCTCAGCAGCCACCAGGAGCTTGGAGGTCGCGAAGTGTGTGTTCTGCTGTGCTGGTACTCATTGCAGTCTCCAGACTTTAATAAGTTCCAAATTAACCCTTGGTGCCTAGAGAAGGAGGCAGGTTAATAGGCCTGCCAAGCAAGGCCTTCAGCCACTGGCTTTCTTGTATCCCACCCATGGGAAGGAATCAGTTGGGCAACTTTTAGCATAATTATCTTAAATCTGTTAGGGCTTTTTCCGGTGTTTGTCCAGAGCTCAAAATGAGCCCTCAACCACATCCCTCTAGACAGTGGAGGGGAACAGGAGTCCCTGGGGAGTCCTACTCATAAGACATAACATCAGAGTGGAAGACGAGGTACTGCTTAATTATCTGGACTGAGGGCTAATGCCATCAGACATTTGGACATTGAAAAATGATTTTCGGTGCCCAACAGAACCTTATCTAATGTTGAGAAAGAAACTATTCTTTTTTCCTCTGATTTTCCCAATAATGTGCTGACATAACTTCCTTGATGCCTTTCAGGGCTCTTTTTCAAATGCAAACTTAAACTCTCTTATTATTTCTAAAGTATGACAATATATTCTAAAAGCCTCACCATACAGGGGAGAAATCTGATCTGAGTTGTACTCATTTTGATATGCACTCTTTTTCTCTGAGTATTTTGTCCACTACTGCATTTGAAGAAATGTTTTAGAATTACTCGGATTCATTTGTTTTTGTTTTATGTGTATGGGTGTTTTGCCTGCTTGTATGTGTATGTGCACCTGGCATTTGAGGAGATAAGATGAGGATGTTGGATTCCCTGGAATTGGAGTAACAGATGCTTGTGAACTGTCAGGTGGGTGCTGGGAATTGAACTCATATCCTCTGAAAGGCATGGAGATGGACAGCAAAGCCATCTCTGCAGCCCAAGAAGTTTCTTTAGAACAAGTAACAAGTGACTAAAACACCATAGTGACCCCATGAAAAGGCTTCAAAACTTCCCTTGCGAAAGGCAGCGCTATCTTAAGTATGTTCTAGCTGTTGCAACTGAGGATTTTCTAACATTTGGCCAGGATCCTCGGATTAATTACCTATGATCCAGAAAGATTAGAAACAGCAGCTTTACCTTTTGCTACAGTCCCCATGATGGTCATGACCTGACTTGATCAGTAGTGCATTTAAACACCTGACTGTGTATCATGTTACACTTTTAAGTTTTCTCTTTAATTTTGATCATTGTAGCAAAACAGTATTTTTATCTGAAATGTTCTAGGTTAGACTTTATCCTAAGGATTTTTTTCCTTCTCATGTGACATTTTAAAGACTGCATCACAACATGAAGTGGCCGGGATGCTGGGAGCGGGTGGCCAAAGAGGTATTGTTTTGTGTATCTACTTTGCTTTTGTGAAGGTTAACAAAAATGAACAATTACTTCATGCTCCTTGCCTGGAACATGGTCACAG